TCTATTCACATTCAAGTCAAGAATTCTAGCTTTTTACGCGTTTACACTTGTTCATTAACTCTTTCCAAATCGCTTGAAGTTCTCGCTTTGCCGAACTGTGATTGATTCACTTTTGATACACTGTTGTATCTGTTTTCTAACATCGTCAACCATTTTCTAACTTATTGAACTGGAGAAGCTACGAGATTTTATGTTATAGTCTAGGAATTGTTTCTCCGGTAGTATACGCCTACAAAAAATTCACACGATTCTTAACTGAATGACACAATGAAAAAGTTTAAAAGCTCTCAGAACAATTTCATGTGCTCATAGTCGATTTAAAAGATACATTTTCATATTTTACGAAGTGTACTAATTCCGAACATATGTACATATCACTCTTACGTAAATAACTAACAGTTTCTCTCGCATACTCAAAGAGAGTGAGTTGAGTTTACTTAACGTGAATTAACATTTGCCTACGGTGTGCCAATTTAACGATAAACCCAAAAAACTATTTTGTAGGTATTTTGAATTTTCTGTTTTTTGACAACTCAGTCTTCAAATAAGCCTACTGAAAGTATTTACAGATCTCTAGTAACTAGAGTAATCTTTGATTGTCATATATACTATGATACATATTCTATATGTTCTATATATGTATATTTTTATGCAAATATGTATATAGAATTCTCTCACTTCCTACCATTATTGTCATTTCGAATTACTTGTGAATAATGTCAGACTATTTAAATTCTCTTTTACCCGCAAAACCATTAGAGTGAAAAAAATTATGAACGCTTGTTTTATAGCCATTTACCATTTATGGCGCGTGTGTGAGCCTCTTTTCATATGCGCCAACGGAGGAGATACAATTGATAAACATAGATGAATAAAGAAAACGATTTCACAGCTTAGAAATGTCGAAGAATTTCACTTCCTTACCTTTACCTTTTTGGCTTACCTTACTTGCTTTGTTGTAGGTAAAAACATATACACACATTTGTATTTGGGTATTTATGTATGCCATGTTCCTTCTTAAGTCTCGCAAAAGAATCCCCGTGACACATTGCACATACCCATTTCAATATCTGTAGCATTTATTATTATCATTGTTGGGCATAAATCCGGCGTTAATCTGATTTGTTTGTGTTTGTGTTCAACGAGGTGAGGGAAATAGAATGTTATGGGTGTATGTATATGTGCAGGCATGAGGGCTGTTGGCTCTAAATTACTGTTAGTTCGCATTTTTTTTCTGGAAAATTGTTTGCCTGCTGTTACCGCATACATACACTCTTAAATAGTTTGAGAACTTTCGAGAAAATTCTTTAAAATAATTTCTAATTTGCTGCCAGAGACTTCGCTCGCTGTTGCTTGTCGCTAGCAGCTTATATAATATGGGCTAATTATTTGGCTATTTGCTTAGCTGTTGGTTGTACAAGAAAGTATGCCACAAGCGTTCGACGTTTGAGTTGCACCTTTTTGCTGCAAGCTGTCTTTGAATCAATAAAGAGAAAGCGACATTACTACCGGACAAATTGAGAATATCGTCACCTGAGTTTTCGTTATAGAAATGAACATATGTAATGTGTTGTTTTAGTGCTCACCCAGTCGAATGTGATTAATACGTTTTTTTTTTTAATATTAGGGCACCTTAGCATATCCTTTTACCTACTTTGCTTTTACAATTCCTGCTAGGTTTTGGTAAATTTAACCCCTTACTATTGGCCTCATTCTTCTCCGTGCCAATTATGTTTGTATAATTTTGCTGATGATTGATTGACAGCGAACTGTGCCGAAGTGTGTACCGTTCGCAGCCACTAAGACGGCTCATGTGGTGTAACAGTTATTTACTTATAATAGTTCTATCCAGGTATAAACGTTTAGATTACAAGATGCTTCTGCTCTACAATCCTTGCGAGCTCAAACAAAAATGTATTTTCTTCACCCAAATTGAAGAATTCATAATGATGGATGTGTGAAATATGCGATATTTGCCAGCAAAGAGGTATTAAAATTTCCAAAGTCAAGTCCTCTGCTAAGAAATAACGTAAAAACACAAATTTAGCTTCATATACACAGCTGTATTTTTGGACTTATTATAATATTAAAAATATGAACTCTATTTTCTATAATTTGTGTGCACAAACTGTACTATTTTACATTAACTGTTTCCGATTCGCCACTTCTGAGCTCGCAGAGTTTGACATTGTTGTCGAAATAATTTTATATGTTAAAACAACAACGAAGTTAACCAGTGGAATTGTAGAATTCTATACAATATAGTGTATGAATACCCTATTAAAGTGGTTTAAAAGATATTTATTCTATCGTATTATGATTATGCCAGTTTATTTTATTTGTAAGTATTGAAATGTGACGAATCGAACAAACAACTGGTATACATAAAATTGTTGAGGATTGCGTTTTTTGTTTGTCAATTTTGATTTTGTCTGTCAAAGACCTGAATATAAAATATAAGGTTCTTAATTTTTCCAATAGATGGCTTCAGTAATCTGTATCTCGCGTTGTATATGTAAGTGTGATCGGGTTACGCTTTATGGTGTTAGAAAGTTAAGATTTCGCACTAAAAAACTTTTCTGACAGTTGTGTGATTGCTTGACTTAGCACGAGTCTTCGAAAACGCCAGCCAGATGACTAAAAATGTAAAAAGTGTTTATAGTCCTAATACTGTAAAAGCCAGTACCGCGTAATATCGGTTTTATATATTCCGTTCCGGTAATTTTAATATCAAAGATTCACCACGTTCTGGAAGGCCCATTGACAAATACAAATATCGATAAAATCGTGCAAATCGTACAGTGCGACCTCTAACATGTCGCCGCAAAACGGTGGCTAGGGTGATTTTGCAATGTGCTTGGTGGGACTGAAAGGGGAAATATTTCACTATGAACTGCTCCCTACGCCCAAACGTCTAATTCGGACCTGTATTGTCAGTAGTTGGACCGCCTGAAGTAAGCAATCGTCCAATAGAAATGGACTTGGGGACCATCAGGGCAACGCCAGGCAACATAAATCGATGTGAATCGCCAGAATCTTTGGGGCTTGGTTGGAAGGTTATTATGCACCCAGCTGACGTATAGTTCTTTCTCGGCACCAATTGATTACTAACTGTTCCTATTTTGCTGATCGAAAATTCGCCCCAAGAGAAAAACCTTCAATTTAATGCAAAACCAAGAAAAAACGTTAATTTCAGTTAGACCGAAGCTATAACACCCTTCACAGATACAAAATTTCCTTACAATAACTTGATTCCGATCTAATTTCGTGAAGATACCTCGTCAACTGAAAGAGTTTTCCATACAAGCACTTGATTCCGATCGTTCAGTTTGTATGGCAGCTATATGCTATAGTCATCCGATCTGTACAAGTTCTTCGGAGATTGCACTATTGCCGTAAATAATAAACTATGTCAAATTTCGTGAAGATACCTCGTCAAATAAAAAAGTTTCCCATACAAAGACTTGTTTCCGATTGTTCAGTTTGTATGGCAGCTATATGCTATAGTGGTCCGATATGAGCCGTTCCGACAAATAAGCAGCTTCTTAGTTAGAAAAGGGCAGGTGCAAAATTTCAGATCGATAGCGTCACAACTGAGGGACTAGTTTGCATATATACAGATGGACAGACGGACGGACATGGCTAAGTTAACTCAGCTCATCGTGCTGACCATTTATGTATATATTTTATAGGGTCTCCGACGTTTCCTTCTTGGTGTTACAAATTTCGTGGCAAACTTAATATACCCTGTTCAGGGTATAATAATGGATTTATTTCTACAATACCTTTTATATTGGTAGATTGCATGTGAGAGAGCCGAACGTCCGCATACGAGCTACGAATTAAATGTGTCACAAATCGAAAATATTTGTATATTCGCCTAAATCGTTCGCTCACTTGATAACTAAATTAAATACCTACCTGACTTTAAAATTTCTCATACAAAAGCTATAAGGGAAAAGCTAGATAAAAATTCAGAAACTGTTGCTATGCTAGAGGCTTTCTTAATAACTAGGCGGTCAAATCGGAAATTTTTTTAATCTTTTGTTTAAAAATCAACATCTGTCTAATTTTACATTTTCTCAATATTGTACATATGTATGTACTGCCTATGTGTCTGCTACCTACATAATCCCTCCGTTAATTTGGCATTTTGACAAATATATCACCCTATTACTACACGCTCGTGTCTGTGTATTGCTTAAACAGTGTCGTCAATTAGTCACAACTAAAAATTAAATTGTTGTCCACCAGTGCGTTGACTCCATCCTACGCAAACTGCTAACAAACGGACCATATGTAAATAAATACCTCAAGTTGTAATTTATTCTTTGGCCATTTATTTCGTAAAAACAATTTGTTTATGGTATTACCTGCAACAATATTAACAAATGAATTTACAATGCACCGGGCTTAGTCATCAACAACAACAATCATTTAAATTTGTAAGTAAAGAATTTATACATATGCACTGTTTGCAATCCCGACGATACATGCTATTAAGTAGAAAATATACCCAACTGATTTACATTTGTTATAAATTGATCAAATTTGATAGTTTGGCTTTAACGGGCTTATTGTAGCTCCGAAAATTTTTTTTTAATATTGCTAAAACTCATAAAACACGACCTCCAGAATAGATATTCGAATTAAGGGGGGCCACAAGGAGCCAAAACGTGAAATAGGATAGGTGATAGTTTCTGTTTCATTGACAAGCATCCAATTAACGACCTCTACAAGACTTGTTATAGTCTGAACTAGGTACATTCAGGTTACGACGAAGTTTGTAACACTTAAAAGGAAACGACGGATACCCTATAAAGTATAAATGATCAGCTTGGACCATCGGTCCGTCTGTATATATACGGGACCAGTTCGTCGATCTGATATTTTGCACAAGTCTTTTCCTCCCCAAGAAGCTGCTCAGTTGTCGGAATAGGCGATATCGGAACACTATAGCATATATCTGCCCTACAAACTGACCAATTAAAATCAAGTCCTTGTTTGAAAAACTTATTTTATTTGAGAAATTATCCTCAGGAAATTTGGCATAGATTATTGTTCAAAGCAATGCTGCAATCTCCAAATCCAAATCCGAATTTTTCAGATCGTATCAGTGTACATAGCATAACAAAAACAAGATAGAGATATTTTTCTACTCTTTCATGCTAAATAATTGCACCTGTGAAGGGTGTTATAGGTTCGGTGCAGCCAAGGTCAACGTTTATTCTTGTTTTTGTAAAAATGTACAATTCTAGCGGCGATAAACTTCCTACTCAGAACATCGTTTAGAATATGTTGACTCACTCAATCACTCATCTCTCTGTCGGTAAATATATTTATGCTATTAGACTTACAAAAGCGAACGGAAAGCTACAAATAGAATCGGAAATCTCATTCATGACCAAAATACCATAACTCCCTTGCTGTAATGTTCCATCTATTCCATAGATTTAAGCCCGTTACTAAAATGTGGTCATTAAGCATATACATAGTTTATTCTCTTCTTGGAAAAAAGAAACTGTTCTTGTTCTCATCCCAGTCATCGGCATTTTGCTTGCCTTGACTTATATCCTGTTGTTTTTTGAAATTTATTTGTCTTTTTCACTTATCCAATGCTCCTCGAAGAAAATCCGGGTGAGATCGTAAAAACTGTAAGGTCTGTTTTTTAGCTTTCTTCTTTTATTTTTCCTTGTTACCTCAATTGGTTCCAGCAGCTCATGCGAAAGATCCCCATGCAAGAATATTGAAAAAGTGAACTATAAACAAATAAAATATTGTAAAATGTTTCTCAACCTTTTTAGAAGATTTTAAAATAATATTAACGGTAAAATAGCAGACGGTTATGCTATGAGGAGCTAGAATTAATGCTATCATTTGTCCAAGCGCGAACACTACTAAAAAATCTTTTCTGAACTGAAATTCACTCGAAACATGCTCGCCTCTAATCGCAACACTACGAAAATAAATTTGCTGTTTCAATGTTTCTTTTATTATTTTAATATTTCTTTTCTAAAAATATTATATAATAATCTAGAATGCTGTTATTTCATATATTTTCAACCGCACAGTAGCTACTACCGCCTCAAGCAGCCTTTTAAATATTTCTGTACTAAAATTAAATTAATTTGGCACGAGACAAATGCCAACAAACCTTTATACATTTCAAGTGAAAGTAAATCTAACCGCAAATTATATAGAAAATCTCCTAATTAGTGCTCGTACAAGGTAGTGAACCCAACAAATTTATGAAAATTATTTTAAAAATGCCTCAAATTGTACAAGTTTTTCTCTGTTTGTACAAGTTTACGCCACGTAAGGCGCTTGCTTTTATTTGTTCTTGTTTAGCGATAAGTTTAGTAAGTGAAAGCAATACATTTAACAAATTGTGTCTTTCCTCGCGGCTCGCCAGCGCTCTCGAGTTCATTGACTCCCATCGACGTGGCGAAAGCGAACGTCCAATCAGCCCCCACCTTAAAAGAACATTCAAAGAATATAATATTTACCCTTGCACCGACAGACGAAATAAGTGTCACACGTCGATTTCAATCAGCGTAACAACAACCACAAACCTCACTTGCTCACATAGCAAAACGCAATGCTACATCACCCGCCTGAGTCAGCTGCTTCGCTAAGGTCTCTTGTTCGCTTTGTTGGTTGGCGACAGTTTTGGGTTGATGATAATTAATTTAAAAAAATAGTGATAAATTGACAAGTGGTAGGACCAAAGTGCTACATACTTACACACAAACATACATACAGATATACACTTGTACATTTATACTTGCCTAAAGGGAGAGCTTTAGTTGGAGCATGTTGTACATACGTACATACAAGTATGTATGTGAAGGGTTTATGTCAGTCATAAAGTTCAGCGTATGTGTGCTACTTAAGATGCCAACGCTAAGTTTTATAAAAAAAAAAATTTACCACATACAAATTTCTCTTTGGCTTTCAAAACTTTAACCTCACTGGAAGATTTGAACCAGCTATCCCTAAATAATAAACAATTTATGTATATACTATAAATGAATTAAAGCAATAAAAACGCAGTAGTAATTGCTTACCTCGATACACTTGACCCAGCGATTCACTAACTTCCTAAGAGGTCACACGGTGCCAACTCTTGGGCAGTTCGAAGCCTACTTCGACCAATTTTTTTAGTTAGTCGATGTATGTAGAACACACCATGTGAATGCCAAACAATATTGGCCAATAAAATAGTCTTCGCCTTCTTCGCTGCAGGTTCGCTGTGTGAAGTTCACTGTTTCAACTGTTCCTTGCTCTCTGATTTGTAACAGTTGATCCATATTTCGTCGATCTTAACGATTCGGATTGCCCTTAAATAGTGGTCTCACGTTTGGGCCTTCCCGTCTCCCAAGAGGAGATCACGCATTTTTGTCACGCTATCTTTCGTACTAGCTATTTTCGGGACATCTATGGGTGGCTCATTATCATTAAAAACCACACAGCATCCCTCTCTTTGATTTCACTGTCCGGTTTTACTTCCAAAAACAGTAACTACGAGAATGTACTACACGATATGTTAGTTACATTTATTTTCTATAAGCACTCGTATATTGTAAGCTAAAAATAGAAAAGACTAAGACTTTTTTTTAGACACTTTATGATCGTCTTGAACTCTTTTGCATTTCCATGTAACGAAAGTAGGCAGTTAAAGCTAGGTGTTAAACTTGTCTAGTTAGGTACATATGACATCTTTGACATCGGTAACATTTGTTCGTTTGATCTCGATAGAAAGATTGAGGTTTAGGCTTTGTTTGCTGATTTCTCTTTTACGAAAAGTGAGAGAAAAGAAAACAAATATTATTTCACCTAAATTCGCGCTTTTTATTTTAAATGTTTTTCTCATAGCTGCATATTCAATTTACCGTTGTTCGTGCCGAATTTCTCAAATAAATGAAAAGAACACTATTTCAAAGTGTCAAATTAGCCGGTTGCTAAAATAAATGACACTCCTATACGGGTCACGCCAAAAATGGCTAAATAAATAACGACAACCCGAATCTCTCAGGAATTTAATATGTATACAATATATTGCTTTCGAACACTTCCAGCTGCCGCATGATTACTGACTTTGGATAAGGATATCTCTTTGCAGGATCAACACACAAATTGTACGGCTTATTTGCGGAGCGGTCCGCGTGCATGTCACCGAATCTGCATGCCTGTCTGTTTGCGCAGAACACATCAGCTATTCAAATCGCGTCTGCAGCGTCAACGGCTTCGTCAACACCGTAAGTCATTAATAATTGCATTTTATCTATTCGCATCGTTGTACAAGCAGTCCAAACAATCAACCACAATTGCAGTAAAAATCTTCCAACTGACACTAGTTGGTGATATATCATCGAGTTTTTCTGGCTCACGCATACGCAGCGCTCGCTTCGGTTCTCGTGTATGCATACCTACAGTATTGGGCAGAAATTAAGGATATAACTTAGCAAATTTACTGTAAACCAAATTTTTTTTGGAAGATTTACGCATTACTTTTGTAGACAATTAACATTTCTGAACAGTTTAGTATTTATAGCTACTCTGAATTTATATTTTGCGGATTTTAGTATTATGTTTTGTGTCGTTGCTCTGTTAGAAGCCTAATTTCTGTGGTCTATATTATTTGACTTGAAACAGTAGTTCATATTTTCCCCAAGAATTATAAAATCTTGGAAATTAATTAAATTCTTTGAGGTTTTGGATATTTTATGTTTAGCCACCATTTGAATATAACCTAACTTTTTTGAAGCACAATACGTTTTATACTACTTAATTTTCAAAGATGAAAAGTAGTTTTAAGTAAATTTATCAAAAATTAGCGTATAAACTCTTTTTATGTAACTACACCCACTATATAGTAAGGTGTTCACACAATTTAGCACCGATTTAGAAAGCTATGTTATGCTCTTAAGTATTTTTGATTGGTGAACGATACATATATAGCAGTGCTCGATGACATTTACTACTATTGCACCTTGATTTCCTTTTTTTCTTTATAGAACGAACTTTCTTCAATTTTTTGGTAAAAATAAAAATACCTACACACCTATACCCTGCGACGATGTACTTAAGATTCTGTCATGTGATAAATTCTGGAAAAACGACAAAGCATTTATTGGATTCCTAAAATTATGCAAAAAAGAACTGCAAAAATTCTGAAAATCACATAATTAATGTACTTAAGATCAGGTGCCAGGTTTTTCGGTATCTTATAAAACAAAATATTTTACGGCTTAGCGTTTCGTTATATCATAATCAATGAAGTACAGATTTTGTAATGCTTTTTCTCTCTGTAAGAAACTTCCTTAATCTTGTCAACAAGATAAGTTTTAGATCTGGTTAGCGCCCTGTAAACAATCAAATTTACTAAACTTCGTGATCAATTAACGCAATTACTTTAAAACATTATATTGCAAGTCTGGGCTTCGAGTCGGAGAGTTCATTTAAAGTGTTATTTTTTGCATAAAACTGACGTTAGATGTATTTATATTTTTGCTACTTTTTTCAAGTTTGTTCAAAGAAAACTAATAACATCATAGTTTCCAACAAAAATTAATTAATTTTTCATATATAGTGTACGTTTTGATAAATGATATTACATGGAATATTTCATTACTTTTATTAAAAAAGATACATTTTAGGATTATGTTGTGGAAAATGTAAGCACTTCTATCTCTTTGGTCTTACAAGTATTAAATAAAATATATAAATACCTTTATTCTTATACACATAAACCGTAGCACAGTAAAAACCTAAATTGAAAATTCTATCGCCACTGTACATGCATATAATTGTGGGTTTCATTGTAACACCCGCAAAGAAAGTGTGAAAGTAAAGAAGGAAATTAAAAATTATTGGTAGTAAGGGATGGATGAGCGCTTGCTTTCACGCCATTTGTGTGGAAATCGATTTTTAAATACTCACACTCGCATCTAATGTGCTGTTGCACTGTCCAAATTATACTTTATCGACTTACCGTGTTTCATATGCCTTGCTGTTGGACTTTCGAATATTTATTCACTTTTCGCGCGAGGGTTGTAATGGCTGTTTCATTGTACTTTAGCGGCGTTTGAGCCGAAAAATTGCATAAATTTGCTTTAAGTAGACGAACGTCTGTCTGTTGTTGGAGTGGCTAAATTGCTTTCGTGTTGCATGCAATGCCATTAATAGTAATAATGCATTTATCCACATTAACCATACCATTTTATTTCAATTTATTGTAGGGCGCTTAATACTAATAAATTATGTACTCTATTATTTCTTAATTTTTCAAAAACAAAATACATTCATGCATATCTAGATATGTTTATTTATCAGCAGTTTCAGCATTATCATTGCGGTAGCCAATTTTAATTCTTTCATAGTCTCGCTCGAAATACAAAGATGTGCCGTTATGAGGAGTAAAAACGGTCAAATACTTTTTATAGCGTTTGGTTTAAGTGGTCTTGCGGGAATTAGATTATCATTTTTCATTCATTTAGTTTTTTTATTAAAAAAGTAATCCAAAAACTGTATTTGAGAAATATTCAATTTATATATTTGGCTTTAGCGCATTCCCGAGGGTATTTCAGGTTAAGTTCTCCATGCACTAGGCCTTTAAAACTTATAAATCTACATACACTCACTACTCGTAAGGAAATATTTGGCATATTTCTCTTCCAAATAGTGGAATAATTTTACTTTAGAATTATCTTAAAGGCTTTTAAAATTATTAACAATTCATATTCAGGTACAAATATATGGAATTTAATTTTTTTTTAAACCCAGATTTGCCTTTTTCAAATTTAAGAACATTAATCTCGTCGTAGGGTCGATAATCGGGTCAGTTAAAATCCTGGCTAACAGCTGTGTGGATTTCAGACAGAGATTTCAGAGTGTACCGCATTTGTGTCTGGCAAAATCTAGTGTAATTACAAGGCGAGAGCTCTTAAAATGTTTTGTATAGTAACATTCAATAT